AAGAAAGAGAGAAAGAAAGAAAGAATGAATAAATGAAAAAAACAAACAAACAAACAAAAGGAAACGGGTGACCAATAAATCAGTCTAAATTAGCTTAAAAGAAGGAAGGTAACCCACGAAAGAGAAAGAAAAGAGTGATTGGAACAGACCGCAAAGAAAGAAAGAAAGAAAGAAAGAAAGAAAGAAAGAAAGAATGATTAATGAAAAAAAGAAAGAAACAAACAAAAGGAAACGGGTGACCAATAAATCAGTCTAAATTAGCTTAAAAGAAGGAAGGTAACCCAAAAAAAGAGAAAGAAAGAGTGATTGGAACAGACCGCAAAAGAAAGAAAGAAAGAAAGAATAAAAGAAAGAAAGAAAGAAAAGAAAGAAAAGAAAGAATGAATAAATGAAAAAAAGAAACAAACAAACAAAAGGAAACGGGTGACCAATAAATCAGTCTAAATTAGCTTAAAAGAAGGAAGGTAACCCACGAAAGAGAAAGAAAGAGTGATTGGAACAGACCGCAAAGAAAGAAAGAAAGAAAGAAAGAAAGAAAGAAAGAAAGAAAGAAAGAAAGAAAGAATGAATAAATGAAAAAAAGAAACAAACAAACAAAAGGAAACGGGTGACCAATAAATCAGTCTAAATTAGCTTAAAAGAAGGAAGTTGACCCACGAAAGAAAAAAGAAAAAGAGGATTGGAACAGACCGCAAAAGAAAGAAAAAAGAAAGAAAGAAAGAAAGAAAGAAAGAAAGAATGAATAAATGAAAAAAAAAGAAACAAACAAACAAAAGGAAACGGGTGACCAATAAATCAGTCTAAATTAACTTAAAAGAAGGAAGGTAACCCACAAAAGAGTAAGAAAGAGTGATTGGAACAGACCGCAAAGAAAGAAAGAAAGAAAGAAAGAAAGAAAGAAAGAAAGAAAGAAAGAAAGAAAGAAAGAATAAATGAAAAAAAAGAAACAAACAAACAAAAGGAAACGGTTGACCAATAAATCAGTCTAAATTAGCTTAAAAGAAGGAAGGTAACCCACAAAAGAGTAAGAAAGCGTGATTGGAACAGACCGCAAAGAAAGAAAGAAAGAAAGAAAGAAAGAAAGAAAGAAAGAAAGAAAGAAAGAAAGAAAGAAAGAAAGGAAGAAAGAAAGAATAAATGAAAAAAGGAAACAAACAAACAAAAGGAAACGGGTGACCAATAAATCAGTCTAAATTAGCTTAAAAGAAGGAAGGTAACCCACGAAAGAGAAAGAAAAAGTGATTGGAACAGACCGCTAAGAAAGAAAGAAAGAAAGAAAGAAAGAAAGAAAGAAAGAAAGAAAGAATGAATAAATGAAAAAAAAGAAACAAACAAACAAAAGGAAACGGGTGACCAATAAATCAGTCTAAATTAGCTTAAAAGAAGGAAGGTAACCCGCGAAAGAGAAAAAAAGAGTGATTGGAACAGACCGCAAAGAAAGAAAGAAAGAAAGAACGGAAATGGAAGAAAGACAGAAATGGATGGTAAAAAGAATAAGTGCTAAAATAATAGGAGAAACTCTAAGAAAGAAAGAAACTCTGTCAATCATTTATTTCCACTTGTCCAGCAGAAAAATCAGTTAAACATTTGGAACAGAAGAATAACTTCATGAAGAAAATCACTTTGAAATCTGCCAAGCCTCGGCGCACAGCACTGAGTTCTGTTGAGACAATCAATGTTTTCCGCTCAATTATTTCAGAATAATATTTCTACAAGAAAAAAAGAAAATAGTAAAGCCATTTGACTTCCAAGGGATTTGTTATTTTTGACGCAAATCATCATGTCTATCGAAGGAAGAAAAAAACGTAAATGCAAGCAGGGATTATATTTTCATTTTACAATTTTTTTGACAGGATTAATCGCCTTATATTCTGGTTGCAAAGATTCAAGGTTTTATGAAATATTTTTTGAGGAAATTATCATCCGTGCGTGTGTGTGTGAGTCTGTGTTTAAAAGAGATAGATAGATAGATAGATAGATAGATAGATAGAGAGAGAGAGAGAGAGAGAAAAGGTAATTAATGGACACAAGGAGAATGAAGAGAATTTATTATTATTATAGAGTCAGGGAGAAGACATTTTTTAATCATTTCATCCAAATCAAGGCAATAAATCGACTGAGACGCAAGGGATTTTTAATTGTTAGAGAATAGGAGAAATAAGACAGTATTAAGGAGAGAAATCAATAAAAGAACAGGAATTATGAAGACAAAATAAAGACTGACATTACATTTAAATTTTAGATCAAAATTGACTCAGAGCAGGAAGCTAGCTATGCCAACAAATTGAGGCAAGGATACAGATATACAAAGTTGAGTATAACCAAGATTATACTCAAGTTATCAGCGTTACACTATGCACATACTTTACAACCAAATGTGCTTGATATGGTGATATGTTTGATAAAAGCATCTCATAAACTTGCATTGTAACCAGGTATAAATATGTTCACGTCTAGTAAAAAATATTTCCTTATTTTCTTTGATTTCAGGTGTTTACACATTTCTTGCGGGTCCCACCCAGAGACCTAAGTTTAAAAATTGCATCATGACATTTTCCACTGACCATTAAAAAAAGAAACATATTTTACATAGATAAAGCCATTCATAAGGTGTGGGCTGTAGTGGTGAGAACATTTTTTTAATATTTCTTTAAGGCATGGAATTCCAGCAATCCCTTCAATGTGTTTACTGAATCTTTTCCAACCAACCCAAGAACTCCAACCACAACATAGATTGTTGATGTTCCCATGTGCCACATTTTTGAGATTTCGATTTCAAGGTCCTTTTATTTTGATAGCTTTTTGGAGATCTCCAAAGATACATTGCAGTCTGCAGGGATTGCCTTATCAATAAGGAGAGACTTTTTTTTTTGTTTGCGGTCTCTAATAACAATGTCTGGACGGTTGCCTTTGATTGATTTTTCTGTGTGTATTGTGCAGTCTCATAAAATTGTAACAGATCTTATCTCCGTAACCGAGTCTAGGTGTCGTTCATACCAATTTCTTTCAGTTTCATTCCCTTAGAAATTGCAGATATTCCAGTGTAGATGTTGGTCCATTCTGTCATACCGGGTTTTATATTCATTGGGAGCCAATACCGCCCAACATGATACAAGATGATCAATTGTTTCTGGATATTTATCACAGAATCTGCATTTTGGGCTAACACAATATTTTAGTATATGTGGTTGATAATTTCTAGTTAGCATGCATTCGCCCTGTGCAGCAAGGTTAAAACCTTCGGTTTCAGCTTTCAACCCGGCACTATGTAGTCAATGATGAGTACGAGGTTTGTCTACATCACCTTATTATTATTATTATTATTATTATTATTATTATTATTATTATTATTATTATTCCTTTTGATTTTTGTTGAATACTTCTGATTCTCTACCAGAAACCTAATGTCAGAAATGGCTTTATAATATTTTCAACTTATCATTAAAAACACAATCTAAAGTCACACACATTTTACATAGATGAAGCTCTTCCAAAAGTGTGAGCTGTACATGGTAGTACTACTTTTTTTATATTTCTTTAAGTGAGGGCTGCCATGAATCTCTTCAGTGAGTCTATCGGAATCTGAGGGCTCCAACCTTTTCACATTTTGAGAAACAATTATTATTATGTTTATTATTGGGCATTAATTTCCAACTCCAAAACTGAGGGAATTGTTGATTTCTTCATATTACATTTCTTTCAGTTTTTGACCTAAGTTCGATTTCATGAGACCCTTATAAAAATTTTACATATATTATTATATATTATTATTATTATTATTATTATTTATTATTATGTTTATTATTGTTCTTATTGTTGTTATTATTATTTCCATTAATTTAAACATTATCATTTCATGTTAATTTTTTTTTTTTTTTTTTAGTCCAAACCTGAGATCTGAGGTCAAGTTATTTTTATTATTATTTTCTTTGATTTCAATTTGGCGTTTACAATTTCTTTCAGTTTCTCTTTCTGGGACCTAAGGTTAGAAATGGAACATCACAGAATGGTGACACTATTTTTCCACTGACAAAGTAAAATAAATAAATACATACATATATATATATATATATATATATATATATATATATATATATATATATATTTATATATATGTATGATATATATTTATAGTGAAAGATGTGTGCAAGAATAAAATGTCAGTTTCAGACTTTATTACATGGATTTATTATTATTACGTTTACGTTTATTATTATTATTATTATTATTATTATTATTATTATTCCCTTTGATTTCTGTTTTTAATATTACTTTAAGGCATCGAATTCCAGCAATCGGTTCAATGTGTTTACTGAAATATTTTTCAACCAATCCGAGGGCTCCAACTACAACAGGGAGTGTTGATGTTCCCATATGCCACATTTTTGAGATGTCTATTTCAAGGTCCTTGTATTTTGACAGCTTTATGAATATCTTCAGATACATTTCAGTCTTATATCAATAAGGAGGCATTTACCTTCTTTTTTTGTTGTTTGTGGTCTCTAATAACAATGTCTTATTATTATTATTATTATTATTATTATTACTATTATTATTATTATATCATTTCCTTTGATTTCTGGTGTATATTCATTTCATTCCGCGTCCCGATCAGAGATCTAAGGTCAGAAATGGCATCATGAGATTTTTTTCTATTTTTCTAAAAGAAAGACTAGCAGGAATCCATTCAATCAGTCTATCTGACTCTTTTCCAAACAATCCGAGTGCTCCAACTACAACTGGAATTATTGACGTCCTCAGGTGCCACATTTTTTTAGATTTCCATTTCAAGATCTCTGTATTTTGATAGTTTCTTTTAAGCTCTTCAAAGATCCATAAAAATGTCTAGGGATTTCCATATCAATAAGAAAGCACATTCTGTTTTCGTGGTCTTTAAATCGATGTTTGGGTAATTAGCTTTGATTGTTTTGTTTGCGTCTCAGAAAATTGTTCCAGATCCTATCTCTGTAACCGGGTCTGGGTGATGTTCATACCAGTTTCTTTCAGTTTCCTTCCCATAAAAGTGATTTTGCTGATGGACTCTTTTGTTTATTCAACTCGGTATTTAACACTAAACGCACCTACCTGCAATATTCTTTTCTTACTTTGTCCTCCATTTCGCATGCTGTATTCGATCTCCTTCGATGACCTCTACGTATTTATATGTTTGTTCTAGTTTCAATTCCTTAATCTTTGTGACAAGATCCAGATCTATTGAGTCTGTTTTTATAACTCTCCCTTCCTTGAATGTTACTCTTTCACATTTATCTTATTCGAAATCCATACCGGTGTCATGGCCGAAACATTTTATAGTATTAATTATACCCTTCAACTGATTGTCGTCTTTGGCAAAGCTTTTAATATCAGAATACATAGAATGAGTGTTTAAAAACTGTCTTTTCTTAATTTGCATCCATGAAAGATTTCTCGTCGGATATTCAGACAGTTACGAGTGGCAGTATATTTGGTGTGATTTAATCTAATTCGAAATCCATACCGACGTCATCACTGAAACATTTTATAGTATTAAGGATACCCTTCAACTGATTGTCGTCTTTGGCAAAGAGTTTAATATCAGAATACATAGAATGGGTGATTAAAAACTCTCTTTTCTTACTTTGTATCCATGAAAGATTCCTCGTCGGATATTCAGATAATTAGAAGTGGCAGTATATTTGGTTTGATTTATATCTAAAGTGGTTGTCCACACTTTCATGCTATACTTAAGAAATTTACTATCACTGAGGAGGCTTTGTACCTTTCCAAAGTCTTAAGGTTCCAAGAGTGTGGCAGACCATCAAAGACTTTTCGGTAATCTATCCAAGCTGTGCCGAAATCTTTATTATTACTAGAGTACCCGTAACCGTTGGCTCAGTGACGGTTCAAATTATAAAACTTTGAAGTTGATTTCAACATACCATTCAAATGGAAGTTAATTTTATTATGATTCAATTAAATATTTGAATTCGTTCCTGACATCATTGATCTGGTTTACAAGTTCATGCTTAACATTTCACTGACTGTTTGCAGTATTTAATAGGAATCGAGCTTCCGGAAGAAATTTGAAATTTAAATCAGATTAACTTAAAAATATCTTTTAATATGACGGAAATTACTGTTAAATCCTATTCACTTGAAAATAAATTTAGAATATGCCAAAAAATATATTTTAAATATTTAAATTGTCACTTGTATAAAGAAAGCTAAAATATAAGTAATTACTCTATAAATAACTGGATGAAAAGGTAAAGTGGGATATCATTGTGTCTGTCTTTAACTTAAAAAATATTTTAAATAAAAAATATTTTAAAGTATTAATATATTGTTTGTTTAAATAAAACAGAAATATAAATAATTAGTCAACAAACAACTGGACGAAACAGCAAATCGGGATCTCTTTGAGTCTGTCTTTAATGAATATATTTAAATATTTTTTAAATCATATTAATTTAAAAATACTCTTAAGTATTAAAACATTGTTTGTTTAAAAAAAGCTGAAATATAAATAATTACGCTACAAACAAATGGAAGAAACAGCAAAGTCTTTGTGTCTGTCTTTAATAAATATTTTCAACTATTTTCTAAATCATATTAACTTAAAAATATTTTTAAGTATTAAAATATTATTTGTTTAAAGAAAGCTGAAATATAATTAATTTCTCTCCAAACAACTGGACGAAACAGCAAAGCGGGATCTCTTTGTGTCTGTCTACAACTTAACATATTTTAGTTATAAAATTGTCTGTTTCAAGTAACTTAACATATATATACTTACTGTATAAACAACTCCTATTTTGAAATCTTTACACACAAGCACGCACGCAATCACAGATTTTTGTATTATATAGATAATGATAATTATTATTAACTTCACTTCCTCCGTACTGTTATTTTTTTTTTTTTTTTTTAATCATTATGGTTTTTCTCCAATACGTCGTACAACCTCAAACAGAGAGCTCCTTTCGCTAAATATTTGCAGTGCCAAACAACGAAGAAGTCTAAAACGATGGGGTGCCAAGCTTTATTCATTATGCTTTTGTTTACAGAGAACTTTAATTTTCATAGTATAAACTTGTATTGTGTGTGTGTGTGTGTGTGTGTGTGTGTGTGTGATTACTTGATTAACGGTGACCCCCTGGTCAGTGCCAGTTCAGGTTATAAAACATTAAAGTCGATTTTAACATCCCATTGAAATGGAGGTTTCTTTTTATTATAGTTCAGTTAAATATTTCAATTCGTTCGTTTTATCATTGGTCTGGTTTACAAGTTCATGATTAACGTTTTACTGATTGTTTACAGTATGTAATAGAAATAGAAATTCTGTGATGAACATAGACTCCAGTAACAGCATTTATTAATGGTATATCCGTACACTTCTGCAAAATTCAAAAGGGGACTCTTATATTACTGTTTAAATATTGTCTGTTTAAAAAACATTGAAATTATAAATAATTACTCTACAAAGAAGTTGACAATTTCAAAAGCGGTATCTCTCTGGTTCTGTATTTAAATTTAAAATATTCTAATTAAAAAAAATGTCTGTTTGAAGAAAATTAAAATAAAAATACTGTATAAACAACTCTTTTTTTTTTTCAAAGATTAATATTATTATTAACTTCTCTTCCTTTGTACTGCTTTTGTTTTTCAATCGGAGGTCCTCCTAAATTGTTTTTCTCCAATAAGTCGGACAACCTCAAACAGAGAGCACCTTTCGCTAAATATTTGCAGTGCTAAACAACGAAGAAATCTAAAACGATGGGGTGCCAGGCTTTATTCATTATGATTTTCTCTACATAGAACTTTAATTTTCATAGTATAAACTTGTATTTTATGACTGATTCAATTACTATGTCTTATCAACCCTTTGCACATTATCTAAAGCCATATTTTATTAAGATGGTAAGAAGTTTTCTGTTCAGATAATATCGATTTAGAGACACAAGTCTAACTAATTAACACGCAGTTGGGGCACAGAAGAGGTGCCTTTCCCAAAGACTCAGGGTTTTCAATAACTTGGACCGATTTTAAATGTGAATTAATTTTAATCGTCTAATGAATTTTTTCCCCTTTTTCTTTCAGATTTAGCAGACATTTGGGCGATATTAGTTTTCACACATAATTGCAATGATTGAATTAACACCATCCAATAGAGGAATACATAAATTTTCACCAATAATACTGATTTACTTATTGCTGACTTTGATCCGTTTTAGTGAAAAACCCTTATATATAATCCGTCTTAATGAAACACCCTTTATAAAATTAAATACCAGCTATACATTTCCGAGGAAAAAATATTACCAGAAATAGATTTTTGACAAAACAAAAATATTACCAGAAAAAAAAGAAGTTGTCGGCATTAAATGATCCATTGAGGTTGATATGCCGTAAAACAAAACATACCAAACCAAACCGTTTGTCAGTCATGTCAATACAAGTGAAATTGTATGAACGGACCAAATTACCTGAGCTGAAGTCTTTTTTTGTTTGATGAAGTATCCAATCAGTTTGGTAGTTACGTCTATATATACTTGAGAATTCTATCAATTTGAGATTGTCTGAACGGACCTAATTACCTGAGCTGAATTTTTTCTCTTTGCTTTTATCAAAACATTTTACCATATTCTGCACATTTTTCTTAATATTTGAACATGCTATACACCTAGGAAACTGGGTATCTAATCAGTATATTTGTACCCCACCGCCTATATTTAATAATCCCTGATTCAATAATAATAATAACAATAATAATGATTTTTATCAAATCTTGCCACCAAATGCCCAAAGTGTTGTCTGTGATGTATGTCCTTGATACGTCGTCAATTTGATAACGTCTTGATCCTCGCACAATAATAATGTGGGACGTTCAGTTCGCTATTGTCATAATTATGACTGGGATACGCTTACAGATACATCACGTTCAAATACCGGCTCCCGTACAGTTCACTGAAGTTAAGCTACGTCGAACCTGGTCAGTACCTGGAAGGGTGACAGTTTGGGAACACCACGCTCCTCAAAACCTCCACCATCCTCAAAACCTCCTGATGAGAGGCCTTCATGTTGGACGTAGTTTATCGTTATAACCAGGACACGGATGTACTTTATCGTCATACCCAGGATGCGGATGTTGTTAATCGTCTTACCCAAAACGCGGCTGTAGTTTAACGTCATACCCAGGACGAACTGCCAAACAGATTGGATCCTTCATCAGTCAAAATAAGAAAATAAATAAACTTCCAGCAATCATGTTCCTGTAGTTCTCAGTATTTATCCACAGAGCGGAATATGGCACAAGGCCGGACTAAAGTGTTTCTTTCCGAGCCCGTAGGTTCCGGCAAAAATTCCCCGTAGATCCCGTATGCCCGCGGTCGGGTAGCTGTCTACCTCCCCAGAGGAGACTCTGGCATTAAGCATAGCCTTGTCTGGATTCCTCTCTGCATTTGGTCTGGCAAAAAAGAAAACAGAATCAGTATATGATGGTGACTTTTCGTTGGCCATTGAATTGACGAATCATAAATTATCCTGGAAGCTAAATTTACTGGTAAAAAGTTTTATTCAGTGAGAATATTTACCGTGTAGTGTGTGTGTTTATGCAGTGATAGCATAGGTAATGTTCTCTCATCCTCTCTGTCAATGGTAAGTTGTTGGATACATGTCCCTACTGGGGACAATAAATGTAGTCAGTACAGATCACATGCTCTGTGATGTTTATTATCCAAGAAATCATTTGTCCTGGGGAAAAGACAATTGATTTGATTTGACTTTCAGTAAGAAACACAGACAGTGCTTCGCTGATGATATATACGTGTAGACAGCTAAAGGGGACTAATACAGCGATACAACTGAGGCAGTCAACTACAGAACAACATCGGTAGTCGCCAAACATTACTTCCAGTCAGTTATTATGTTGTAACAATAATAGCTGTCGATTGGGTTATTTTGTACAGTGGTTTCAGCTATTGGTCTAGGGAATAAACTCACGGTCATGAGGATAGTATTACATAATTTAATCAAGTATATCCACTACGAGGAGGGTTAAGTTAATAGATAATTGAACGTAACCAAAAAATTGGAAACCTGATGATGTCCAAATGATACTTATCTGAAACGTTGTCTCTATAATAACATCGATAAAAACATGGAAAGTTTTGGAAATAATTAAAATATGCTTTCCATTTTTAAATGTTAGTTAGTCTGTGCAAAATAACTACTACAGATCGAAGTGAATACCAAATTAGACATTACGTGATTTTTGGTGACTTGACGGATTGGGTTTAAAATTGCAGCGCATGTTAAGCTTATTTTATCGTCGAATATCAATCTTTGTCACCAGAACTAAATCGCAATCAGTCATCAAAATTGTGGATATATTTCACTAGAAATACAGAGGTAGATGTCAGTCCAGCTTATGCTAAGGTCCAAATATAAATTCGCAATCGAGTCAAAGCGTAGAAAAAATAGACGTATACAGTTTACACTAGAAATAAAAAGGTTAGACATTAGTCGGGTTTTGTAGTAGAGTAAAAAGGTTAGGTTACATTAGACCTATTGCAGACGCTTGCTTAGGCGCATTTTGTGTTTATTCAACACCCACGGAGCCTACCCGTGGTTTATACTGCAACTATGCTGAGCAGACCTTAGTTACGGTTTATGGGAAAGAACATGTTATCTAGTGTGATCAACAATTTGAACAAAGCCAGATCACTCAAGCACTCGGACACGTGCTAGCGCAGCTAACAACGGTCCTCAACGGTTCCGTCTACCCAATTTTACTCACAAAAGATACATGATCGCCTAAGCGTGTACCACGAATGGCACATAACTGAACGACTGAACTGAAAAATCGAGAAAAATGGAGATACAGTTTTCTTTACACTATCTAGGCTCAGATATGCTCACCAAAGTTAAGCAACGTCGAGATAGGTCAGTACCTATTGAATGTCCATTTTGTGCTGTAAGCCTGGATGTGCGGTTCGTATAAAGGGCTTCCGTTCATATCACGTTGAAACACAGGTTATCGTACGAGTTTGGGGATTAACGAGATGAATGACTGTTTGAGAATTCCAAGTGTTGTAAGCATAGATATGCATGTGGTGTAATGGAATAAAACTACATTTTTGCTCCCATGACCCCTCTGTATTATTCTCATCATCAATCTCTAGAACACCGTTTCTGTGGCCTCTAGTTTAGGACACATTGCAGTGAAACATCAGTTCCCGTACGATCACCGACGTTAAGCAACGTCGAACCTGGTCATTACTGAGATGGGTGACCGCATGAGAATAACAGGTACTGTAAGATTGGATGTGCGTGTGTATATATATATATATATATATATATATATATATATATATATATATATATATATATGTGTGTGTGTGTGTGTGTGTGTGTGTGTGTGCGTGTGAAGAAATATAGTCTTATGATGTGCTAGATTTATGGGACAAAGTGCTCAATATCAGAGATAGAGCGTGCGTAAATATAAAAGTGAACATAGATGTCAACACTTAGAGGCGACAGTCTGCTTCATGCTAGATGCAATCGTCACATATATATATATATATATGTGTGTGTGTGTGTGTGTGTGTGTGTGTAGCTGGCCACTCGTATTCGAAGATACCAAACTACTAGGTTGGTTAGCCAATCTCTATTGCAGACTCCTGCTCAGACACATTTGTGTTTATTCAACATCCACAGAGCCCACCTGAGGTTTATACTGCAAATATGCTGACAAGACCTTAGTTACAGTTTCTGGGAAAGAGCATGTTGATCAAATTGAACAAAGCTAGCACACTCAATCCCTCGGTCACGATGACTTGTGACTTCGAGCTATCGACGGCCCACAATTTCACTTTAAAGGATTGGGTCATATCATGGTATTATTTCCAGGCAATTTCCAAAGGTGCCACATGCTGGGATCGACCCTCTAGTGTGAAAACATTAGGAAGCTTTCTTCCTGACAAATCGACCATTGTGAGGCTCGAACCCGGGGGCCCATGCGAACGTTCTAACCACTCATTCACGTGCCTGTAGACTTAAATGGTAATTCAATAAATACACGAAAATAGAAAGGTGCGTAAGACATAGGTGTGTCTTCTCACCGGACTTATTCAATTTTGACAATAAAGCAATCCCGGGTCATGGACACAACTTTAACAGCATTTGAAAAGCAGTCTTGATAGCAGACGTAGAAATGAAACTACAGGTACTTCTACAGACGATAGGAAAGGCAAGCGAGAAGGAAGAACTATACATCGACTGTAAGAAGACAGAATGTAGCTTTATCAGCAAAGGAAACTTCCTAGGATAAGAATTACAATTTTGAGATACGAGAATTAAACCCGTACAAAAATTTAAACATCTAGAAAGGCTTTTAACAGAAAATAGAAAACGCGGCAGCGAAATTCGAAGATCCATTCGGCTAGCGAAAGATTACGACGATAATTTAAATATTAACTATTCGTTAATATTTAAAAATTAACGGGAAACAAAGAAAACAACAGTGAACTATTACATAATATTGGTCCTGCAATTAACGCTGGACAATCTCACAATAGAATAAGTGACATGAACAACAGAAATCTCGTTCTATAGAACGATGCTAAGAATCTCATGGAAGGACACGGCACATAGAAGATGAACGAGCTTGTGTAATTCATTGGAAGAACAGGGAAAATACAGAATTTAATAAGAGCTACACTACGGTTCCAAACTATGAAGTCACCCCCAGAATTAGCATGAGATGAACTTGACAGAAAAGTGAAAAAACAAAAAAAAAAGACCTCTCAGAGTAATTTTAAAAAGAATGGAGTCAATTATCGAAATTATACTTTCACAAAGTTTTGTAACAAATACGAAAAATGTGTGCTGCAATAATTAAGATTAAAGGAGAATATTTTAACGAGAGCAAAATTAAATTATAAAATGCTTTTTTTGTCTTTATTTCTGAGATGCCTCATCTCTGTCGCCATATTTATTACAAAGTTTCGGACCATCAGTATCAGCCTATATTTCTGAGATTTATACTATTATTATTCGGACTATTTCCTCATCTTTGTCGCTATATTTATTACAACGTTTCGGCCTTTCAGTATCTGTCTATATTTCTGAGATATTATTATGTACATTATTTACATTATTCAAACTATTCTCCTCGGACATTATTTATTACAAGCCCTTCACTATCTGTCTATATTTCTGAGATGAGATATTATGTACACTATTTACATTATTCGGACTATTGTCCTCATCTTTGTTGCCATATTTATTACAACGTTTCGGCCTTTCAGTATTTGTCTATATTTCTGAGATGAGGTATTATGTATTATTTACGGACTATCCTCATCTTTGTCGCTACAACGTTTCGGCCCTCATCTTTATTATGTCATTATTTACATTATTCGGACTATTGTCCTCATCTTTGTCGCCATTTTATCCACGTTTCGGCCTTTGTATCTGTCCTGAGATGTATTATGACTATTCTCCTCATCTTTGGCTATATTTATCCTCACTTTATCCACTGTGTGTGTCCATGTCGACAGGACACATGGATAAAGACGTTCGTTAGATCCAGTGACAGGACACGAAGAGTCTGACTTCAATACCCGGTTAAGGCAGTGTAGAATTTGGAGAAGGGAATTAACAGGAGATAACTGACATCCATTAAACATGCCCCTTGAAACTAGAACAGTCTACCCCAGTGAGCGAAATAATGGGTTTAGTTCAACATTCCAACCACCTGATGAAGGACGGAGCGTTCAACGGCCGAAACGTTGTAATAAATACGGCGACAAAGATGAGGACAATAGTCCGAATAATGTAAATAGTGTGCTTTTTTTTCTTCTTTTTGTCATAATAAAATATCTAATAAAAAAAAATCATGTCTCACTTTTTTTAACCATGTATAATAATTTTCTCTAATTTAAACTACAAAACAACTACGTTTGGGGCCAATTTTTAAAAGATTACCAAACGTAACCTCAAATGTTTGAACTGTAGTTTACAATGGACAAGAAATAGTGGAGAGCCATTTCACGCCAACGTCATGAAGGCACACGGGAGACGGTACACAGAAGATGAAAATCTCATTCTATAAAGATCTTTTCGCTCTTCAGCAGGTTAAGAAAAAAAAGTCATAAAATGTATATTTTTAGTGGAAACTAGATTTGGTTTTAAGTCAGATAATATTTGAGAAACTGACTCATACGCTCAAACGAAATTTAGTACATTAAATAAATACAGACATGTCTTCTGGGAAAAACAAGATTAGCATTAACTGGATTTACATAAGATATTGGTGAGACTAGATTATAAATACCAACATGATACTAAAATGACTAATAATTTCGGTGTATTTTTGTGTTGAAACCAGAGAAGCCAAGTATACATAACATCAAACAATAAATCCACCACTATGTAAAATTCAAAAATTATGAAAATTTTTATCGTTCTGTCTCTTTGGTTGCATCTCAGTAAAGCAGCTGTAAAACCTAAAATGAGTGGGGTCGATTCTGTTAATTCAACCAAAAATATTAATTCACCCCAAAATAAAAATAATTTATCTTTACTAAAATTCAAAGCAAATTCTCCCATAGCGGTGCCCTTCCATTGCACTCTGGCCTGCGAACACCCTGAATGTGGGCGACCCGGGTGCCCTATTTTTAAGTGTGGGTATTACGTTCGCAATCACCCCGATAAACAAGCCAAAAACAGATTTTTCTTTTTCGAATTGCAAAAAAATTCCTTGTAAGTACCTCGAATATCATTCAAACTTCGGAAATGCGAACCACTTCCTGATTTATTAGTAATTATCTGGGTTGGAATTGTTTTGAATCAAGCTAAACAAATTGTCATTTAAAATTTATAATTTCAAGAGTGTAAAAAAAAAAAATAAGTGAAAAAAAGTAACAGATTTTAAAATTTATCATTTCTCAGGACCAATTAATATTTGCGATGATTAGCTTTAAATTATTTTGGGTGAATTAACAGAATAGTTACAGTATATATATATATATATATATATATATATATATATATATATATATATATATAAGTCAACATAGAGGCAACAGTCTGTTTCATGCTATATGCAATCGTGGCCTGACGATTGCATATAGCATGAAACAGACTGTCGCCTCTAAGTGTTGACTTCTATTCACTTTTATATTTACACACGCTCTATCACTGATATTGAGCACTTTATCCCATAAATATAGCAAACCTTAAGACTATGTTTCTTCATATATATATATATATATATATATATATATATTATATATATATATATATATATATCGTATATTGTTATAATGGAGCCTCACATCAGTGAGGGAGGTGGGTATGCAACTGAAACCGTTGAGAGGAAGGCCCCGAAACGGCGCACATTCTCTCCTGATGACCCCAATTTAAATATAAATTCGAGGGAACACATCAAAGAAATTCAGTGAAGTCATATGCCGTAGAAGCTCGGTGGAAGTGTCATTGGCATGAGGCATTACACATTCAGCTCGCTTCAGGTGAGTTTCAATTACTTTCCAGTTATTTCCTTCTTCGATAGGTGTTATTTTGACTCTCAAACAAAGCAGAGCTATTTCTACCTGTGACGTCGTCCCCCCTGGTCGCAGCGTCGACTGTGTCGTTCGATCCCGTTCGCGACGCCAATTGTGACGTGACGTGGTCCGGGGTTCTGATCCTATGATCACGACACCAGTTGTGACGTCTTTGCCGCGGCGTCAGCTGTTCGCTCCTCGCTGCTCCAAGTGTGACGTTCTAACCCTTTGGTTAGATGAATACCAGCCTCGTCGTTCCCAACCCGCTTCCAACGCCTGGTTACCAGGGTAACTGCACTGATCTCCGGTCTGCCTACCCACGTTGTGATTAGATCTTAGACTGACGGGATCAAACAGGGATTTGGCCGTATGCAAGCTGAGTCCAACGGGGGTGATAACACACAAGAAAAATAAAAACTCACAAGTTCAAAAATATTGAAGAAAAAGGTAACAACTTTTTATATCTATTTGCTCGTTACACAAGATTATTCCTACCTCCCGACCCGTTCCGTGGACTGTGGCACCACGCTTCTACCATACATCTTTAAGGCTTCGAGTTGCTTGCTCTCTAGAAATTTGCATTTCGGGGTGTGGTTTGGTTTCAACACTGGGCGCTGATCTCTACCTGTCGTTCACGGCTGATTTCTCTCGCCGTCCGTGGCTGCAACTAACTCTCTCTTCAGAGTCTGAATTATTGTTCACTCATCTCGGCCGTCAGTGCGCGAATTAACCTCTTCTCTTCGGCTTCGG